GAAACTTGGTAAAAAGATATTTTAGGTGCAAATGAGAGTTGCTTGTTAAAGAACACATGTCTCCATAAATAAAATGTATGGTATACCAGTAAAAGCCTGCCCTTGCTATCATTTGAGGATATGTATTTACATCGGCAGAAATATATAATTTCCATCGTAATTCCACCTCTCACAAAAAGGAGGGATTTTTTAAACAGGCATTCAAAACACGTTCCTTCTCTCTAAAGTGAAGGACTCTGTTTGAAGGAAACGTCTTCATCTATGGCATGGCTATTTTTAGGCCTTAGTGTCATTCTCCATCTGAGAGCACCCTGTATAAAGATGTAGATGAGTTAAATTACAGAATAAACTGTCTTGTATGGACATAAGGCTTGCACAGCATCTATTGCAAAGAGAAAAGGATTGCCTTGCTTTCTTAATGTGAAAGTCAATGGGAGGGGAAAACAGTTTGAGCCATTTGATCATAAGGAAGGTCCTTCTACAGGGTCCTTGTGGCTGAGAGCTTGGCTGCATTATTTGGTTGGAGGGTGAGGAGTTAGTTTGGTAAAGGCCTACAGAGATCTGGATAATAGGTCAAAGCTGAGGATTAGTGGGTATAAATAGGGAAACATTCATTCATTCAAGTCTTGGATTGGTTTCCATTTCAAAACTGCCCCCAAATTAAAACCATGTAAAGGCTTAGGGAGGAATTTCTGGAATAATTCCCTTGCTACTTTTTTTACAGCAGTGAAATCATATTTAAAGAACTATTCTTTTGTTATTCATCAGTTGAAATACTAGGTTCGTATGATTTGCCAAGTTGCGTTGGCCTCCAATACATTTGTAGTCAAGATTACAGTTATTAAGAAAATATTTAACATATGGGTATATTAAATAAGAATACTTCATTCAGTCCCTGGGGGTGCAATTAGTTTGTGCTGTGAATGTTCTCCGTCCATTGAGAGATAGATTGATTTTAACATTCAGTTTCTAATTGCACACTTGTTTTGAACGGCCTCAGAATTTCCAGCTGGTTTTATCTGATTTCAGTTAGCCAGGAACATCACTATCAATGTTAACNTCCAATACCATGAAGGGCTTTATAAGTGACGACTAGCACCTTGAAGCGTATCCGGAGACCGAGTGGAAGCCAGTGCTGCTCGTGGAGGATAGGTGTAACGTGGGCGTATCGAGGTACACCCGCAATCACTCGCGCAGCCGCGTCCTGGACCAGACTATTGTTCCATATTGTTTCCTCCATGTACAGGTAGTTCTTGACTTACAACCATTTGTTCAAAGTTGCAAAGGCATTGAAAAAAGTGACTTGTGCCTGTTTTTTCAAACTTTGCAGTGTTGCAGCATCCCCACCTTTTGAGAATTTCGGACAAGCAAAGTCAAAGGGGAAGCCAGATTCACTTTACAATCACGTTACTAACTTAACAGCTGCAGTGATTCACTTAATAACCGTGGTCATAAAATGGGGCAAAACTCACTTAACAACTGCCATATTAGCAATGGAAATCTTGGATTCAGTTGTAAGTCAAGGACTACCTCTATGTATCTTCTCATGGATAGAACAGTTGACCCAGGAAGAGAAAACTCTCAAAGGGGAAACGGTTCCAGCAATTAGGAAACAAAAGCTTTGTAGAAAGGCCGTTTTAAGGAAGATCAGGGGAAGAAGGTATGGTTTTTAGGAGGAGCCTTTGTAGAAAAGTAGGATGCTATAAAATAATTGTCTCAATTAATCTGCAACATCAATCCTGCTTCTTCTGCCTTGCTTCCCTTTCAGCTGTTTTCTTTGCTTAAATCACAATAATATCTTGTCAAGTGATATTGTAGGTTCTGACCATGTTGTAACTTGGGTTTTTTCTGCAAGCTCTGGAAAAGGATCTAATGTACGGTAGGTTAAATGCCTTGCATTTCGTTATTTTTGCTCTCAGTGGTGGCCTTGGGTTCCTTCTTAATAACTTTTTCATTACTTGTTGTCAGTGTAGGGTTTTTTTTTAATTATGCTATTTTTGAATTTTAGCCCTTTTATTACCAGAAGGGTATATAGAATGCTCTGCGTATAAGCCCCAATAAACAAACAGACATCATTGTATATAATTATTATTTTCCCCCGGACGGGAGTGTTTGCTTCGAGTCCCTCTTGACTCCTGGTGTCTCTTACGAACAGTCTCAGCCGTTTTCTTGGCAAAGATTTCCCCCCCCCCCCCCATCAGTAGTTTCCCGTTGCCTCCTTCCCAGGGCCAAGAGAGTGACTGGCCTAAAGTCACCTGCCTGGCTTCATGCCTAAGGTGGGACTAGAAAAGTCTCCCAAAGGCCTTGACCATTACCCCAAGTCGCCTCTTACGTCTCATTTACAACAGGAAATATTTAATACGCGGAGGAGAGGGGAAATTAGGCTCATTTACCCAAACACACAACATTCCACTTGTGCAGTGCAAACACAGCCTCTGAAAGCATAAAGTGAAGATGTTTATTAAAAATCAAAAATACAAAATTTTCAACAGCGGCTACAAAAGTTTTAAGTGTATGTTTTTTTTGCATGCGTATGTTATATATGTGTGTGTGTGTGTGTGTGTGTGTGTGTGTTGTATTTGTGCTGATAAATAAATAAAGGGAGATACCCTTACCGGGAATTGAACCTGTGCTGTATATATATATCCAAGACTGAATGTGAGCCTTCTCCTCTATGTTCCATGTCCAAAACATCCTGGTTATGAATTAAACAGTAAGACAGGACAAAGAAATGCCATCATTATGAAACAATAGCACTGAAGGCTGGATAATATAAAACCATGTAAAGATTTTTTAAATTTTGTATTTTTGTCACTTTTCACTGTTTTCCTGAATCTAGGATTATATTGTTATTCATACTAATATTGTAACTGCCTTCATAATTCTATAGCTGGGTTTTGTAACCACTGATTTTAGTAATAGTTATATAACTGTGTGTATATAGTATGTGTGTGTGTGGTGGGGGTATGCATATTAGAAAACAGCAAGCAAGAACAAGTGTTTAACTGAGGCCAGAAGCAGTTAGAGACTACAACTAAGTATTGGATTAAGGACTTGCCAAAATTCAGAGTCAAAAGCTAACTTGGAACAATTAAGCATTAGTTATATGCATGGACAAAGTGTTGTATATAACAATATAGGTCCATGGTATATTTAGCAATGTTTGATATTCTGTTGTAAAACTTCAATTTATTTGGAGGTGTTATTACCTGAAGGATATAAATGTTTTCATTTGATTACCAGGTTGCAAATTTAGATTTCCGGAGCTAATACATCAGGCTTATTTGGGTTTCTGCTAAATCAGTCAGGCATTTCAGAAGTTTCTATCACAAGTTGGTCTTCTTTTTTCAGCCTGTTGTGTAGAACTAACATCATACCCCATTCTTTAGCAGGTACTTCTAGTTATCAAATGATTTTAAGATAGATAGATAACAACAGTTGTTGCCTATCTCAGTTTTAATTTGATCAGAAATTGTCCTCTCTTAAGGCGTTTGAAGAATCAGGGTGATAGTTTTTCCTCACTCACTTTGACTGTATGTTTGATTTTGATTTGTGTTGGGTGAACCTAGTAATTGCTGTTTATAAATCAAGGTTTATGTCTTGTGGCTAATTGTGCTTTCATTGATAAGTATTAAACAAACAGTGGTACACCACAAACTGCAGAGCAAGCAGTATAGATTACCCCACCATACCACATCATGATTTGGTAAACAATCGTCTGCATTTTACCCCATCAAATATTCCTGGAATTTTGTACTTCGTTAATAGCTGAAGTCAAATCTAACCTTTTGGTAACGTCGAGTACTTAGTTGTTATTTGCAACAGGTTGTTTAAAGGGCCCCACAGCAATGTCAGGTTTATTTCTGTTTTGTGCTTGTTGTAATACCTGTCCCAGGTACCTCAAGATGAATGGGGAGGTTACCCTGCTGATGGTAAAGATGAGGAGATTCCCTGCAGAAGGATGAGAAGTGGAAGTTATATTAAAGCCATGGGAGACGAGGAAAGTGGAGATTCTGACAGTAGCCCCAAAACGTCACCAAAGATATCAGCCCACCCGGAATCCTTGTTAAAATCTATTGGACAAAGAGCCCTTGGTGATCACCAGAAGTAAGCCTTTTTCTCAAAGCTTTTTTTCCTATTTTATTCCTACTATTTCTTCATCTTCTACTTCAGCTGATAATGTTCTAAAAATAATGTTGGTTGGATATACACTTCCTCGGATTAAGCTGATGCTTTTTATTGCTGGCGAAAAAAATAATTTCTTACTCTGTAACAACTAGCCATTGCGTTCCTAAGGCAATGTCTAGACCAGTGTTTCTCAACCTTGGCAACTTGAAGATGTCCGGACTTNAGGCTAAGGGGCTTGGAGCCTGCCAGATCTCAGGGGGGAAAAGGTCTTCCATCTTTTGATAGCCTCCCGAGATTTTGTTCCATACAGAATGAAACAAAAACATATAAACTGTTTGAAGCAATTATCAAGACGAAATCTAATTGTAGATTAAAATATTGAATATTTGGCAATAAGACCAAAGGAATGAATGAATGTGAGAAAGATCCTATTGAATCAGATGAAAGCAGGACATAAAGACAGTTATACCATCCTGCTTCCACTATCCAGCAACTGTGGTTTTTCTTTTTCTTCTTTGACACATTGAAATGATTTTGTCTGGGCATACATATCCCTTTTTATTTTTATTTTTTTTTCTATTTTAACTATATAAGCGGCCCAGAGTAATTTTAGTTAAACAGCCATCCAAATCTAAAACATTAATAAATGTAAGAGCTAATATTTAACTATCACAATATTAAAGGATTCTAGCACTTATATTAAATCACCATAATCATATGGTTAAATAACCATTATCATAATATTTAACCATCAGTGAAATATTTGTATTACGTGTTTAGAGTTATTGTTAAACTTTAGTTTCTATTATTAGTTGAAATATGCCTTATGCTTGTCCTAGCTGACTGATATATCTCTATCCGCCCCCTAACAGATCAGCCGTACTCATGGTCTCCAACTCAGCAGTCCTTCAGTGAGGAAAGATATTCTCCTGTTTCAAGGAACATGAAAGGATTATCTGGCAGTCGTAATCAATCACAATTATGTTCTGCGCATACTTGTGGTTTAGCATCCCCTGAAGATTGTGAACACAGCCACGACCATCTTCATCATGGCCAGGAGTCCAGGCAATCGTATCTTCTCAGCCCAACCGAGAGTTGCCCAGTGGATCACCATCGCTGCTCACCACGAAGCTCCATCCATTCAGAATGTATGATGATGCCCATGGTTATGGGTGATCATATGTCCAGTAGCACTTTCCCCAGAATGCACTACACCTCACATTACGATACTCGGGACGATTGCACCATGTCTCACGCAAACCCTAAGGTTAACCGGATCCCGGCAAATTTGCTGGATCAATTTGAGAAACAGCTTCCTCTCCAGAGGGACGGCTTTCACACTCTGCAGTACCAAAGGACGTCAACAGCAGCGGAACAACGCAGTGAAAGCCCAGGTAGGATACGCCACCTCGTTCATTCGGTCCAAAAACTGTTCACAAAATCACATTCTTTGGAAGGCTCTTCCAAGAGCAACGTCAACGGGGCCAAGGGAGACGGCCGAGGTGACGACCATCATCATGGGCATCATTCCAAACACAGCAAAAGGAGCAAAAGCAAAGAGCGGAAGCCCGAAGGTAAGCATAAAAGTGGAATGAGCAGCTGGTGGAGCTCTGATGACAACTTGGACAGTGACAGCACTTACCGCACACCCAGTGTGGTGAACAGGCACCACGTGGACCACATCTCTCATTGCTATCCTGAGGCTCTTCAGGGACATTTTGGGGATCTCTCGTTAAAGACTTCCAAAAGTAACAACGATGTGAAATGTTCGGCTTGCGAAGGTCTGGCAATGACCCCCGACGGCAAGTACATGAAACGGAGCTCTTGGTCGACCCTCACAGTGAGCCAAGCTAAAGAAGCTTATCGGAAGTCCTCTCTCAACCTAGACAAGCCTCTAGTCCATCAGGAAATAAAGGCCCCCCTGAGACCCTGCCATTACCTTCAGGTAAGTGGGAAATGTGGCTAACACCCTTAATTGAGGAGCAATATACCTTTTTTTAACATTTGCAAGGCAGTTTTCTAACAGGCGTCCTTTCCCATACTTTTTGGGTCCCCCGAGGTTCATCTACACTTAGAAATAAAATACGAAGCAGATCTGACAAACGGCAGTTTTATTTGAGTCATCCATAAGAAACTTTAGGTGAAAGTAAAACATAACCATCATAGTCCCATCAATCTTTTATGGCCTTAACCTCTTCTCAGAAGTAGCTCAGATACTTTCACTGAGCTTCCTCGGGGTTTTTTTTTCTTCTTCTTCTCATTAACAACACTTGCATAAGATAGCAGTGAGTGGGGGGGGGGGCACAGGTCCTATTCCTGGTCTTTAATTACATGCTAATCAAATGGGACACAAACGTCCTCCTTTTCACCGAGGACTCTGAATGGAGCCTGAGTATCCTCGGGCGTTGTGTGTGTGTCTATTTTCTTTCCGCTCTGGCCCCCAACCATGCAGGGCTAACTTTGAAAGATACTGATTGGCTTCACCTCATTCATGCAATGCGCGTATAACAAATAATACTATTTCTTTAAAAAAGAAAAAGATTGGAAAAAATCGACTTCAAACTTTTATCCTGTTTTTCTATTTTTTTTAGACACAAATTAATAAAAATAGAAAGATAAAAGATAAATGTACTGATTGCAGTAGAGATTAGGGGAGAATGAGTAACGGAGACTTTGGAATCAGAGCTCAAGTTGCAATTTGTTTTTTGACTTGGTGTGAAGTGTGAACCAGTGGCTCATAACTTTAACTGACACTTGCAGCAGATCACCTGGAGTGAAAGGCTCCGTTTCCCCCTTGGCAGCTACTTCAGACAGCCCCCATTCCTAACTCTTGTTCTTGTCAGCTGATAGCTAGCTTATTTCCCCAAATAAGTTCCCCAAATGCTCCCTGCCTCAATCTGATGGGAGAGCATCATGGGGTAGCAGTTGCTGCAGGTCTTGAAAGACTTCTGAATTGGCATGTATCAACTCTAAGAGCTCTTGCAGAAGGATGATTCTGGGGGTTAATGCTTTGCTTTGCAGCATGCAAGATCCCTTTATTTAATTCATTTAGGCACCACCCAGTCCAAAATGATTCTGGAAGGCTCACAATACAAGACAGTATAAAAAGTAGACAAGATTATATAAGTAAACAAAATAATGCCCACCCAGATAATGGAATCCATCCATCCTCTATCTATCTATCTATCTATCTATCTATCTATCTATCTATCTATCTATCTATCTATCTATCTATCTATCTATCTATCTATCTATCTATCTANTAGTGAACAGTTTGATAGTGTTGAGGGAATTACTGGAAGTGAATAAAATATTTCAGGGTTGCCCATAAGCTTTTCCATCATTGTTTATTAAGTTCCCAACATTGGCCTCTTACAAATATGTGAGCAAAAATGTTATTAATTAACAGAAGCCAAAGAACTAGCTATACTTCATCTACTGTTGACATTAAAAACACAAATCAGTGATGCATCATTTGGAGAATTCTATTATGAAATGCTTGATGTTTTAGGGAGATGGTATTTAACAAGCCCAAATGTATTTGACAGCTAGGTTGGTTATCCATAAATCCTTTTTTTCTGACAATGGTTGCTCAACAATGACTCTTTGAAGTTGCATTTCATGCTGTTCCTTGAAGACGCAAAAGGCTTCTTGTCCAATTATTTCTGTCCCAATTGGCAAACTCTTTCGTAGCTGTTGTCAGTCTCTTTTTCTTGATTGGTTGACAACATCACTTTTAGATTGGCTTTCCAGGTAAGGGCAGTTTCCAAAGTGGATTTCTCTTTCTGCAGAGAGACGTTTCACCTTCTTCGCTTTCAGTGATACAGATGTTCAGAATATATTGTCTATATATTAAGGCTTTGGGAAGCAAAAAGCCAGCTGTAGCACAGATAAGCATGAATGTAAACTGAAGCCCAGAAATACTTGATAATATTTCTGCTTATTCTTCCTCCCCTTGAGAAAGAGCCAAATAGGTTTTCAGATTCATTTTAAAATTGTGGTAGGCTATGATGTTGGAATCTATGATTCGAATTCTGAAAATCACATAAACAGCCCCAGAGTTTGAGAATATTATATATAAAAGATAAATGGTGCGTAAATGTATCCTAATTTAAGATCCTTTTGGTGAAAAGAGAAGTTACAATGAGATGCTATAGTTACAGTCAGCAATCCGTCTTAGTGAGGAATGTCTACTACTGACTTACATTTGCATAAACAGAATAAACTAGATAGGACACAATATATTGGAAGAGTTTGCTGGTGATGGAGAAGTTTTTAGAGAGATTGAGGAAAAAGCCATGAGATTAGGTTAGCATTGACCTTTAAAACCACAGTTAGTGTCAACTCTCTACAATTCCTAATATTCAATCTTAACTGCATTATCCAAACATAGCAGCCACATTTATTCTCTATTGTTTCATCGGTTTATCAAATGTTGATGATTATTTTAGAGATTTGAATTTGCAGAACAGAGAACTCCCAATTTTTGGGCTTTCATAGCATTGCTTTTTAAAAAAAGCAGAAGGTATGAGTGCATTTAGTAATTAGAGAAAAGCAAATCAGTGTTTATATTTCTTAAAATTCTCCATTTGTTCTTGTATTTACATACTACACTTTTTTGTCCGTGTGCTTTCAAGTAAGTGTTGACTTCTGATGACTACTTGCAGCAGCCTCTGTTATTTGATACTTTGATACTAAAATAATTAATGGAACTAATTTGGAATAAAAAGAATATTCTAAACTATAAAAGGATATTTTTAAAAACATAAGTCAATTGAGAATTAATCTGTCTTTTGAGATGAACCCTGGAATCTAAACAGAAACCCACCTTCTCTCAGATGGCTCTGAATGCCTAAATAATCCGTCCTTCATCTTCCAATAGTACAGATGTTTCCCAGAGAGTCACCTAGTGATTCTGATCATATTAACATACCTTATTCACTTAAAGCTGAACCTGGAACATCTGGGAAAGCAAATGACCTGTGAGTGCATCATATTGCAAACATAAGGAAGTATAAAAAGGAAAGGTTAGTTAAGTTTGATGTCTTGTTGCAATGTTAGCAAGAAACTTCATGATGAAGATATTGTTGTTGAGGAGATTACATAGATATAAAGTTTAAATCTTACCTTTTCTCCATCAGTTCAAGGTATCTTAATTGGGATTATTCCTTCATTTTATACTCATAACAACCACCCTGCCAGGAAGGGTGAACCTGAGAATGACTCACCTAAAATCTTCCAGTGAGTTTCCATGGCAGAAGGTTGACTGTAATATTCCTATCTTAATCAGTTTACTGCAGTGACTCTCATGTGCCTTTGCAGGTGGCACTGAGAGGCATCATGCTTTTAATACAGTGTTTCTCAACGTTGTCAACTTGAAGATGTCCGGACTTCAACTCCCAGAATTCCCCAGCCAGCNATAAAGAGATGGGGGCATAGCCATCTGACGATGTTAAAATACTATCTACTGTTCTTTGAATTGGCGGGAAAGTGTGGCAGCTTTACTGCCAAACGCCATTCTCCCTCAATAATGAGGCCAGTCACCAGTGCTGTCCATGCGGTTTTAATTCAGAACGAGTTACAGAAAGGGAGTCATTGATACCCTCTCTTGTTCATTCTTCTTAAAGGGATATAAAGCGTGGATGGATGCTTAGGGTTTAGGCACCTTTGAGTTGCGTAATTATAGGTTGCAACCATAGAGACCCCCCCCCATGCTTGGGTTCCATCAGTTGGGAATTTTCTGAAAACAGATCTACTATTTTTCAGGTGTCCAAAAATAGACATAAGACATAAGACCATAAGAGGGGCCAAGAGTGAAGTACTAGAGAGTGATCAGTAAGGAAGCCAAGGTCCTGAGAGACGGAATCTTTCACATCAGGTGTCTATGCACTAATGTATCAAACCATAGATACGGGGTTCACAATGAATCTGTTGTTGCTTTGAAACCCCATATCACCATCAGCTTCTTGCTTACATCATAGAGAGCAGTCCTTTGACAAGGAGAGTTTGAAGCCTCTCCCAAGGCCCTGACTGAACATCCTTTGTCTTTGCCTCGGAATAGAGTCAGAATATTTATTCTGTAAGACATTTGAAAGCTAGATGAAGCAACAAACCCAATTAAGTTGGTCAACTGGTTGCTGAGAATGCAAGTGAAGGAAATCCTCTCTTTGCTATGAGGGTTTCCTTGACTAGGAGAAGAGGAAATATACAATCTTAACACGCATCTTAAGCTTTCATCATTGTTTTTCAACTTCAGTTGAAAGGCAAAATAGACATGGTGTATATATTTTTACAAGGCGGAATGGAGGGATGGCTCTCCAGTTACAATTTCTTTCCCTCAGAGTTAATCGCACCTTTTAAATGGGAGGTAAATGTGGTCTGTCTCATAGTGTGCAGACTGATACAACTTTGTGTCTTTTAAGAAGTAAAAATCAAAAATGTATTTACAAGTCCAGCCCTCCCGCAAAGAAGCTTGCCAAATACTTAGAGATTCTTCTTTTAGCTTTGCCTTGGAAAGGTCCTTCCATTTCTTAGCTGCTCATTGGGGAATACCATCAAAAGCCTTCGGCTCTCTGCCTTTCAAAGCCCAGGAAGCCCCTGTCAGCCACTGTATTTCTGTATCATCCTTGACATTTAAAAACCATAGACTTTACTGAAGAGATAAAGTTATTCATTGTTCAAGGAGAAGCTGGGATGAATGGAAGGTATTCATACATCCACTGAAATCAACTTCTGAGGCAATTTTTTTTTTTGAAGACTGCCATTTTAAATGAAACAAATATTAGTCAAATTAGGCAATGCTGTTAGTCTGCTAATGAGGAAAAAAACCTGTCTGTTTGGAGAAGATAAATTGTGCGGTTCCTTTGAACATCCAAGACAGGGTCGGCAACAGGAAAAATAATTACCAATTTGAAAATTGTGAATCAATTTACCACAAAGAAGTCCGATATTCATGTAACAATAGCATCAGAGGAGCTCAGTCCACTGCAGGGAATAAGTGCGTTACAGGTTTGCAGTTTTAAGTTTTACAAAAGTCAAAATATTAACAGGAAAAAGGAAAAGTGTCTGAATTGAAGTAATATCCCATGTGTGGCATTTTGAGAATTACATTACCTAGCACAGCAAGTAAGTTATCATAGTCTAAGAAATCAGATTACTGCTGCTACACTAAAATATTACGTTGTCTGAAAAGTGCCAGGCTGCATTGCTTCTCCAGCTATATTCTCGAATCAAGTTTTTGCTGTTTGACTGTCTTTTACATGTGTGTGTAGAACTCCAGAGAAATGTAGGACAAGCTGTAAATCTGCTGATCATGAGCTGGTGGCAGACAAGTGGTTGAGGAGCTGTGTCTGTTACTTGCAATCCTCAAATTTATCTTTTAAACCCCTTATTTTCGTTTTTTAATGAAGAGGAACTTTAGGGAGTTGACCAGGTAATTGGTGAAGAAGCATTAAATTCAGGAGAAGGGATGAAGGGAAATGAGGTCCTCAACTATGTGTTTTCAGGAGGTAGGAATTATCGGCCACTCTTTCTAAATAACGTCAAATTTTTTGATGCTGAAGAAATCTGAATCCAATTATCAAGCATCACCTGTCCACCTAGTGCCTGCATAATCTCTAAGGCAGCTGGCTGGGGAAATCATGAATAGCCCATTTCTATGCGCCCCTCAGAATAAATGGATCATCTGCTCACTGGCCACCAGCCACATTCCTCCAGAATGGACATTAATGAAGTCTTCCATGGTCTGTGCCAGTCTCCTTTTCAGCTCCTCATCTTCACAAATACCTTTACAAAGCCTTTCCAATGCCTCAAATGCTTGTGTTGGCCAAAACAATTGTGGCAAAAAAGTAATCCTCATAAGAAGTGCATGAATCGACATTGGTCCCTTCAGGGAAGAGTGTGGCGGAGAAGAATGAACTAACTTGTGGAAAAAGCTTAGCATATTTTTCCAAATTATTATTTTCTCCAAATGCCTTGGGGAATAAAATTGGCACAGAATGCATTAATTAATACATCCTTCCCTACAAAACAAAATGTGAAGGTGCTTAATTTTTCAAAATTATTAGTTGTACGTTTTACCTTGAAAATTTTTATTAATCATTTGGTCTCTAAAGAGACATTGGCACAATGAAAAAGGTTGTAATTCTTTGAAAAATAGAAATGTCAATAAAGTGAACACAGGGCAAATTTAAATGTAATCTTTTAACCGAGTCTCAATGTATGGTATTCAGTTGCTTGCATGCCTCCCTCTTAAAAGTTTCATTGATTTTAAGGAAAATAGGTGATATATCTGTGTTAATCTAATAGTTCATTTTATTGGACTCAAAATCTGACCGACTATATTAGCCCAAAATTGCAAAACTTCAGATGGTCACAAGAGTGCATTGAATAGCTAGGATTTCCAATAGCTCTTTGCTGCCAGTTGTTGCTACCCTGGATATTTACAATTCAGGTCTAGGTGACCTAGTAAAATAGCAACTTGAGCCAAAATCTTCATCCCTTAAATTTTAATGGGTCAGTACTCTTCATGCAGCTGCTCCGAAAGATAGTTTGTAAAATGGAGAATGTAGTAACTTTCATTCTGATGGGAACACTTGAGTTGAATCTGCTTTGCAGCATTCTAGTTGCGGTCCATAACAGCAGTTATGATAACTCATAATTCTTAGTACTGTATTTGTCTTTGAAATGTTAAAGACCAGATGCTGCTCTGAGACTGCTCAAGTCTGTTCTCTTGAGATTCTATTATTATTACATTTTCATTTTCCTTTATACAATCACTTAAATACTGTGCAGTTAAAAAAAAAGAAGCAATAAACAACTCATA